GACTTAATGGATAAAATTCGAAGGTACCAGGGAAAGCTGGTAGATTTATGCGAAGAGGTTAAGGAGTGGCAAGGGCAGAGGCCACAAGTCTTCATGTATGGGTCAGGCTCAAAATCGCAGGGGGCGCCTGCGAGCATTCCGAACGTATCGGTCACAGGGGGGACTCCCAGATCAGGGACGAGCTTTAGGCCGCCTTCATGATCTGGGAGGGCCACTCAGGCGATCAAGACGAGAGCTCGAGGGTCAGCGAGTCCGGAACCGCCGGCTAAGGATATTCCCAGGTCGAGCGGGGAGAAGAAAGTTGTAGAACCTCCCGTGAATGAGGAGGAGGAGGATGACTGCCTAAGGAACGAGGAGGATGAAAAAGCAGAGCAAAAAGCCAAGAAGAGGGGCGTTAAGGCCGATACGGAAAAGGCCCCAGAGCAGAAAAATAAGAAGTACACAGTTAGGGTGGAGGAAAAATTTGACGTGGAAGAGATTATGGGCCGAATCCTTGAAGGACATAACCACCTCATGAACTTGAAAGATGTCTTGGCATCAGCGCCGAAACTGCGAGAAGAGCTCAAGGCACGTTTGTGCAGGAAGATGGTGGCTAGCGTACGGTTAGGGGCCATAATCCTTAAGGAAGCTGAGTGGTCGGAGACCGGTACGAAAATGGACAGGAAGTCCGTGGCGTGCGGGTGTTTTGATGTTGTTGTAAAGGGGAAAGCATGCACGGCAATGGTCGACACAGGCACAAAAATGAACCTCATCAAGGAGGAGGATGCCGTGCGCCTGGGGATGGAGATAGACCGCTCCGACAATGGTATTTTAGTAGGCGCAAATAGTCAGTCCATTTTTGTGGGGACCGCATCCAAGGTGGTGCTGGAGATCAGGAAGGTAAAAGTGAGGAGTTGCTTCTTCGTAATGCCCGACCTCGATCACCCTATTCTTCTGGGGCGATAATTTTTTAGCAGAACAGAGACCATCATCCTGAATAAGCATGACGAGACTATGTTCCTGGTCATGTGTGATCCCGTGTGTGACAACTATGAGATTGTGACGTGCCAGAACATAGGACCAAGGAGTATTAGGAATCGACCCAGCCCTGACTCTTTTACAATTGAGGAGTCAGAAGAAGAGAGAAAAAGGCTAAGRGGAGTCGACAGTGAAGAAGAAAGACGGCCAGAAACAATGACCCTTAGCTTGGCGAGCATAGGTGACGCTATGGATATAGTGTCGACCTATGGGATGGCAGACCCTGTGGCCGTGGAGGCCTTGAGGGAGAAAGTGGTGGAACAAATGGGAGTTGAAGAATCTTAGAGGTGGGCTCAAGCAGGGTTCACAAAGGCGGTACAAAAGGGTAGATCAAAAGTGTCGCCCTGTTCCGGTGCTCATAGCTGAAGAAAAAGAGGTGTACTACGAGCGGGAGAGAGAATTGATACGGCAAATGCGAGAGGATGCTGCGAACATGCCGAGTCGTATCAATCCGGAGATTGAGAAGGCGTTGATTATAGGGGAGCCTGGCTTCCTTACAGCGCAGGAAGAGAAACTTATGGTGGAAACCATAAGAGGAAGGCATACTGCATATGCCTTCAATGATGATGAGAGAGGACGCCTGGATGTGGATAAAATTCTCATGATTAGGATACATACTGTGCCGCATGAGCCGTGGAATTTGCGGGGCGCACGCTATCCTAATCCTGGTGACGAAGAGAAGATAGTTGACTACCTAGATGGGAAGATCCGTACACATGTGGCAGACTACTCAAGCGGACCGTATGCATCCCCATGGTTTTGTTTTATCAAACCAAATAGGACGTTGAGGTGGGTACAGGATTTACAGCGCCTGAATGCTGTGACTGTTAGAGATGCAGGTGGCCTCCCTAACGCAGATGCGCTTTCAGAGGCATGCGCTGGGAGGGCTATAATATCTCTGATAGACTTGTATTCTGGTTATGACCAGTTTCCTGTCTACCTATCTGACAGGCCGATGATGGCGATGCATACCCCACGAGGGCTAATCCACATGAATGTCGCACCGCAGGGGTGGACAAATGCGGTTGCTATGGTCCAGAGGCATATGATGAGAGCGATGCAGCCAGTAAGCCCTCACATCACGCAGCCCTATATCGATGATTTGGCCGTGAAAGGGTCGAAGGTAAAGGATGAGCAGGAGGTAATGCCGGGAATCAAGCGGTTTGTTTGGGATCATGTGCAGGACTTGTGTCAAGTCCTGGACTTGCTACAAGAGCATAACCTCACTGCAAGTGGGCCGAAATCCAAACACTGTATGCGAGGAGCGACTATCTTAGGATTTGTGTGCGACGAGAAGGGTCGTCGGCCAGATACTAAGAAGACCAATAAGATTCTCGAATGGCCAATCCCATTCGAGACGATTACTGAGGTGAGAAGCTTCCTCGGAACGTGTGGATTTTGGATAATATTTATAAAAGGGTTTGCGACGAAGACGGAGCACCTGCGAAAGCTCGTGCACCAAGGACAAGATTGGGAGTGGGGAGATAGACAGGAGTCTGTGATAAAAGACCTGAAGAAGGAGTTTGAAGAAGGAGGACTGGTACTGGGAGTGCCAGACCATGCGGCCGTTATCACCAGACCCTTTATCATAGAGACAGATGCAGGACCGACTGCTTTGGGAGAAGTGTTGATCCAGAAAGACCTCAATGGAGAGGAGCGACCGCTAAGATTCGAGAGTCGAACGCTTAATACGGCTGAGAGAAACTACTCTCAGTTCAAGCGCGAAACCTTGGCAGTCCTCCACTGCTTGAGAATTTTCAGAAACTACCTCTTTGGCAGCAGGTTCGTGTTGAGGGTGGACCCAACCGCTCTAGCTGGTTCGCTGAAGAACTACGCTCCCTAAGATCCAACCATTGCCAGATGGCTGACATACATCTGGATGTTTGATTTTGAGCTGGAGCGGATTCCAGGGAACAAAAATAGGGCGGATGGGTTAAGTCGAGCCGACTGGGGCAAGAACAGCGAAGAAGTGATCGAGGATACTCCCCCAGTCGACGGGTTTTTGGACAAAGAGGAGGATGTGAGACTTCACATCAACTCTTGATCTTTGGCGGTAGGTAACTACATTACTCCTTAAACCCTATGTGGACGAGGACCTCCAGGGTATGCATGCTTGCCAAACTTAGTCCTTAAACCCTATGTGGACGAGGACCCATGGGGACTGCCGGATGTGCAGTGGATGATGGATCTGGCCTTGGCAGACAAACATCAGTTGGGTGAGGACCTGATCACGATGGAGGATGGAGCCTAGCAGGTGGAGGATCATGAAAGGTCTGTAAGAGGGGTTTATTTCCTGGCCAATGCCTTGTTGTAGGAGGAAGTGGCCAGAAACGTTGGGCAGGATCAGGAAAGGGGTGAGAATGTGATCTATGAGCGGGAGGACGATGATTTCGAAGAAGGCGAGATTAAGGAGGTTTTTCGAGCAGAAGAGTATGATGGGGTTTATCTTGAACTCGGAATGCTTCTTTCGTGCGAAATGAGAGAAAGAGATGCCAGCGAGAAAGTCTTGAAGATGAAACCGAGCTTTCTGGTAAGGGATGGGCACCTGTTCATGAAGAGCAAGGGGAGGAATCCCAGGAGGGTAGTCTGTGGCATCGCTCGTCAGATCGATGTCATGGCCGCCCTGCACGACGGCACAGCTGGAGGGCACAGGAGTACTGACACAACGTAGCTCAAGATACACGAATTGTACTATTGGGATGACATGGGAAAAATGATTAATGATTATTACAAATCTTGCGTCCCATGTCAGGAGCGATCTTCCCTTAGGCCAAGGGAGCCGCTTCACCCGAGATACGTTCGTGAGGTTGGAGCCGTCGTACATCTGGACCTGCTAGTAATGTCGCTGGGGATATGGGGATTTAACTTCATATTTGATGCACGCGATAACCTCTCCGGGTTTGTGGACGGAACGGTTATTCGCACCAAGACTGGCGAGACGCTAGCGCGATGCATCGAGGAATATTACCTCGTATATCCCTTTGTCTCCAGATTTGTCATGGACAGGGGGTCTGAATTCACCAGTGCAGAGGTAAAAACACTCTTGAAGAGGTACGGGGTGATTGATGAGTATACTACTGCAGCACACCCTCAAGCAAATGCACCGGTGGAGAGAGGGCACAACACCATCTCGAACCTTCTGGCAAAATGGACCAGTGGGAGGCCAAATCAGTGGCCTGATTTTTTTAGAGTGGCTTTTTTTGTAGACAACATCACTGTGAGGACGAGCACCGGTTATACGCCAGCCACGCTATGGTATGGCAGGCATGCAACGTTCCCTATCGAGAGCTTCCTGAAGACATGGAGGCGGCAGGACCTCGAGTCAGAGTTGACGTTCGAGGAACTGCTCGATCTAAGGGCGCGTCAGATCGGAGCCATAGAAGACAGGATTGAAGGAGCAGCGAGTAAGGTGGCATATAATCGGGCACATGATAAGTTCAGGTGGGACAAGATGGCAAGAGTGAGGAAGGAGTCACTCAGAATGGGAGACACGATGCTGTTGTACGACTCATCCTTGGAGAAACAATGGTCACGGAAGTTGGATAAGCGCTGGTTGGGACCGTACAAGGTAGCAAGAGTTGGAGAGCATGACGCGTACCAGATTGAGGAAATGGATGGAACAGCCTGGAGAGATTGGGTGTCATGCTCGAGGCTGAAGAAGTTTGTTGCTCGAGATGAGGTGAGCCTAAATCTCACAGGCTAGAAGTCCCTTCCTGCTAAGTTTTTTTTGCTTAGTAGAGATATTAGTTAGGCTGTATAGATAGTCGCTAGGATGGTATGGCAAACTATTGAATTGGAATAGGTATTTATGTGTATGTATGCATATACGGATGGATAGGTTAGATGGGATGGGATGTGTATGTCTCTCACTGTGTTGCCAAAACCTACTTACCCTCTGTATGCTTTTGCTTGTCTCTTCCTTGTTGTGCAGGCTTGACACCATTTTGGCGCAGCCATGCCAAGAGGGAAGGGAGGGGCAGGGCCAGTGGAACCCCATCAGGGGGCAACCAAACAGAGAGTGCAGGGATGGACCAGGAGAGAAGACAGACCACCCATCTTCACAGGAGGGAACATCGAACTATTTCTGATCGAGTTCTAACTGCACGCGAGCGAGTTTGGATGGAATGGAGCTAGGATGTTGCGAGAGGTACGCGGAGAGGGCGAGTGGGCTGAGCCCATTGCCAGATATGTACGGGAGTCAGCGACCTGGCAGGAGTTTGAGAGAAGGATGGAGGGATTGCAGTCATCGCCCATGGGGAGAGATGGAGTACCGATCCGATTTGATGGGACGAACTTGGATGAGTTCTTGTGGGCTTATGACCGGTTTGCGGACGAGCAGAACATTGTACCTGAGACCAGAGTGAGAGGATTCCTCCAGTTTGTGAAGAGGTATATCAGGATGTTCGTCAGGAGTGTTGTGGGGAGAGTGTTGCATTGAGGAGACTGCAGACGACTACTGAGGAGCTACTACACTCCAGCACGTCAGGCAGAGGAGAGAAAGAGTATGGAAAAGAAAAGGAAGGAGCCTGAGGCTGAAGGCAGGAGGACTTTTGAGAGAGGTGCCTCGTCCACATCTCAGGAGGGTGAGAGAAGAAGGGAACATGCTTCCCACAGGATGGAGAGAGGAGAGGAGCTGCCGGCTAAGAGGAATCAGGAGAGGAGGGAGTTAGAGGTGTCTGAGGCTCCTCCTCAGTCTATTCAGAGACCAGAGGATCAGGCTATGACAGAAACAAGACCAGAGGCACCCTGTGAGCTGACAGGACAGAGGATGGATGAGGACCAGGCTGCCAGACAGAAGGAATTGGACAGACAAGAAAGGGCCACCAGGGAACAGGAGATCAGAGCAGAAGTCATGAGGAAGAACCTGAAGGAACTCCACAGGAAAGTGGAACAGGGAGAGCGGCCAGTGAACTTGAAAGACAGAAAGGGAAAGAGTGTGAGCAGCCAGCAGGAAGAAGACCCTCCTCTACTCTCTGAAGCGTGGGAGAACTTTGATAGGTTAATGGGAGCTGCGAGAGGACCAGAGGGACCTCAACAAGAGATGGGGGTGAAGTTGGTCTTCGCAGACTTGCTCATATTGAAGGGAGTAATGAAGGAAGGATTTGCAGCCGCACGAGCATCAGATCAAAAGATTGGAGAGAGACTGACCAAGGTGGCACAGAAGGCCTATAGTCAGGGGGTGGAATGGGAGAAGGAGGACAAAGAGTTGAAGAAGAACCAAGAGAGACAGGACCGCGAGCTGGACGCGATGAAGGTGAAACTGAAAAAGGCCTGGGCTGGCAATGAGGCGATCAGGCAGGTGAACCAGACCCTCGACAAGGTCAACGAGGCTCTGAGGGCCTACCTGCAGGCTCAACAGGCTTCCTTCCAGGCAAAGGAGGTAAAGTGGGAGAAGTGAATTAAGGAGCTGGAAGCGAAACTCGAGCAGAGGGCTCCCACAACTTTGGTGGATTGGACTGAGGTCCAAGGATTTGAAATGAAGAGGCCACCTGCAGAGGAAGCCTTTAGAAGTCAGAAGGAGGAAGAAAAGGGCGATCTACAGGGAGGAGAAGATGTTCCCCTGCTGGATAAACAGATGCTGCAGCCTCAGAACATGCACATGCAAGGGAAAACCAAGAGTGAGGAGTTTGAGTGGCAGATGCCGTCCACTGTGACACTCCTGCAGGTTCGAAGGGGGCTGGATGTGACACATCAGGCAGAGGTGGTGAGAGATGAGGGGGCACCGCCTATTGATCGGATGGTTGCTGAGGGGCAGATGATCCAGGGGAGCAAGGTTGAGGCTGAGCAGGGAATAGGCCAAGAGACCTGTCAGGACTCTACCATGCCTCAGGGTATGCCATTGGTAGCAAATTTGGAGGAGGCATTGGGTTTGTGGGCCACAGGGTCTGGTTCAGCAGTGCGAGCGAGTGGGCCAGCGAGACAGACAGAGGAGAGCGCAGCCTGCCCCACACCATCTGAGACTCCCCAGCAGGAGGTTACGAGCGAAGTTACGGCAGTTCCATCCTCAATACTCTCGCAGGAAGAAGAGAAGACGACACGGAAGAAGTCTGGGAAGTGTTTCTACTGTAAGAAGGGCAAACACTTCTCTGATGATTGCCCCAAGTTCTATGAGGATGAGGCGAGAGGGTTTGTTACCAGAGTATCCACTGGGATTTGGAGGGATAGGAATGGTAATTTGGTTGAGAGGTCTTGTGATGGTGGTAGAATGCAGTTGTGCGGACAGATAGGTGAGGGGATGATTGACTAGGATTTGACATTAGGGTCCGGAAAGGTCTAAACCTTGGCATGAGTAAATATACCTCTGACTCTCTACTGGTAGGTGATTGTATATAGGAGGACACATGGAGGATTGGATCACACCCATGTATATCAGTGAGGGCGATTATTGAGATGTTACCATCAATACTACAGGACAGAGTGTACATTAGTTAGAGTTTGAGTTCGACTATCTTTTTAAAACTATGTACGTTATGTGTCTGTGTATGAACTACGTTTTTTTTTTTTTTTTTTTCGTTTCTCCTTTCAGAGTAGGATGTGTGAGATCTGTGTGTGCAGTGTGAGTTGATACTTGGACATTCGGGACTTTGACCTGTTCGAGACATTTTGGACTTCTTTGTACTATACTTGGATTCTTCTTTGAGTGTAATAGGGGTCTTGCCTATTTTGCAAACCCCTGGTTCCTTGTGTACCTATGAGACTCAAACTTGATAGAGTTTTGTGGGGTATATCACGCTCACATCAGTTGTGGACTTGCCCATGTATGCTTGAATTTTGTGGGATGTTTTTATGATGGCTTGATCTGCACTATCCTTTTTCGATACCTTGGACTACCTGTCATTGTTACAGGAAAAGTACTAAGTATAGTTAAGGGAGAATGCATATCACATGTGATAAAATTGTGTATTGAAACTGAGTAATGATGTTGAATGGAAGGTCACAACTGAAGGTTGTGTCCTTTTGTGTGCATTTGAAATTGTGAAAGGAACTCAATGGCCGATTGAGTCCTTCCTATGAATATAATTGAAATTATCAGAGAGCACTCTAAGGAGATGCTGTGATGATAATGATGATGAGCAAAGTCTGACAAGGAAAGACCAGAAATTTTTGTGAGAATTATGGATGGAATTCTGGCAGTATGATGGAAATTTTGGAAAGGTGTCCCTATAAGACGTGTGACCTTGTCTGCCCTGATCAAAGCAAGAAAGGCACGACCTTGTGGAAATATTTGTGAAATCGTGAGAAAGGCACTATCCCTCCACGTAGTCCCGTGGGCAGTTGGTACGTGATCCTTTGTGTATTATTGTGAAAAGAGAAGGCCAGACCACAAGCCGTCAGTCTAAGGGACATATTATGTGAGGCCAGGCTAAGGGGCTATACTTAGCATCGCTGGAACTGTAGAACCTAACTCCCAGCGAGGGCCGCTGGCCGGCGCAACCTGGCAGCGGGACCATGGCTCACCAAAGGTTAAGTCTCGAAAGGTCGGCCGCCTGGAGAGGTTTTAAGCCGGAGGGAAGGTCATTGGGGTCGATGAGGTCAAGAGTCGGAACCCTTCAGGGTGCCAAGGTAAGAGAAAATTTGCTTATCGTTGCGCAACCAACGAGGGCACTACCGCTAATATAACAACGCGGTGGGCCGTGGATCTGGCTCGATCAACCAGACTATGGTGGGCCAGGATGGAGACCTAGAAGCCGCCTATGTTAGACTCCAGGTTGGGCGTTCATTATCGGTGGATATTTGAGATGGTATTATTTACTACTTTGGGGACTGAAGGTGCCCCGTGTTTTGAGGAGGTCTCGGTTAGGGACTGCGTCCTAAGTTATGACCGTGCTTGCAGGACGATGACTAAACAGGACACCCAACGGTAAACCGGCAGATGTCTAAGGCAAAGGGAGAGGGCGATCAAGCTACTACCTGGGAGCGGACATTACGCTGTAGTACGGAACAAAGTATCCCCGGAGTCCGAGGCCAGGACGTGGGAGACCCAGGTTGAAACCCTGGCAGTGGAACACCGTGGAGGGGGTAGGTTGATGGAGTACCTCGAACAGAGTCAAGTCGGCTAATCGGATTGGTCAACTTCCTTGTCAGCAGATGGAAATTGAATTGTTTATAGCTTTTGATCTGACCGACGCGATGGGGACGTCGCTTAATAGGGTCCGGAAAACTGTCGGCGTGCGTGTTTTTGCACCTCGCAGAAGAGGCGATTGAGCCGATACATGAAAGAATGGGGGGTTTGTCGCCAACCGCGACTAACGACTGTATGTCAGAAGTGGCAGGCGTATGTATAGCTTGATTAGAGAGTGTGTGAGCATTCACTTTGCGGGCATGCGCGAGTTGTTTGACTACCGGGTAACTTAGGAGTTCAGACCGGACTGTGTGGGCCGCAGTCTCGCGACCACTGATAAAGTCGTGGCCGACATAAGTGTAACTAGAAGGACTACGGCCAGGAAGGAGTCCTGGCTRWCCCTCTGAAAGCCGACCTCTTTTTGGGTCGCATAGTGCGGGTCGCACAATACTGAGTTGACTATGTGTCACAGGGGACCGGAGGTTGGACRAATGGATATGGACTGGTCTCGGTAGGGGCGGATGCCGGGCTTCTTCCGGTAGGACGGCAGTAAAAAGGCCGGYCACGGCGTGRCCAGGAAAGCCACACACTGCGGTTAATGGTACGCAAGACCGGCATGTGCGGCAAGACACGCAAATGCCTGCCTCAAGGCGGTGYTGTACGRCGYTGCAAAGCCATGGCTTGGGGGACATGCCTTGCTGWGGGCWAGGCATGCCTCCGCAGGCCTAGGAAATCTGCGGATACTGTTTATAGGTAAGTTTGCGCYTGCTACCATCAGGCTRGGGCTTAGCCCTATTGRTTACGGCGTTGGAGTTTCACCAGGCGGATYTCGGGATCAAGGCCAGCAAGGGGCAGTGAAGTAGCGGAGGAGCGTTTGAAGGGAACTAGGGGGTTGAGGGTCCTGCGGGACTATCCCCTTTAGTTTTGCTAGGGGAGTCCGACGCCGGGCCCCCTGGGATAGGACCAAGTGTCGACGGTCCTCCTCCCTCCTCCGCCCTCTTTCCCAAAATTTTCTAAGTCACGATTTTTTTTTATTATTTTTTTTTTTTCCTAAATTTTTGATTTCATTTTATTTGTTGTTTTTTTATCCCACTATGGGACATGGTCGGGACCGATCTGTGGACCGACGGGAATGCTCAGATCGACTTAGTAGGTACGCTCACGGACCATTCAGATACCACCAGGTTGTGGTATAGTCCTACGGGACATCCGTTAAAAATTGGAACGATACAGAACAGGCTGACACGGTCCCTTCGTAGGAAGGACAAGTATAAAGCCGGGTCACCGCCCGTCACTGTTGCTGCTGTAGCACGAGGTAGATTGCCAAATTCTGTGCGACCTCCTGAAGGTGCTAATCGCAGGGTAGTGTGTTATGAGGAGTGTGAAAGTGACAAGGGAAAGGGACATGGCGGAGCTGATGGGCGTTGCCCTGTGCAACTAAAAGTGCTGGCAGCAATCGAGGAGAGGAGGAAAAATTTGAGGGAACCTAGACGCAGGCCTGCGCTAGGTGCATTCGAAGGTAACGAAGGGGCAGCGGGGAGTCGGAGAGGAAAGGAGTTGGGAGGAAGAGAGAGGAGCTCACCTTCAGCAAGGCTATGGGCAGCCGGCTCATGCAAACAGCAGAAGGGGGTCATGTCCTACAGATGAAGCACCTGGCTACAACTAAGTAAGGAAAGCGGAATGAACCTGAACGCGGTTCTGCGCCAGATACATTTGGAGGATGAAGGGAAAAGAGACGTCGGGCAAGAGAGTATGGCGGAAAGAGAATCCGTAGCACGGCTATTTCCTAACGAGACTTGATGAGGGGAGTTGATAGCCTGTGGTTTTGAAGGCTGACGAACACGAATCTGCAGTCAGGGAAGGCAGAAGGTTAGTAGGAGGGGAAAAAGAAAGGAAAAATGGTGAGCGGAGATGCCGCGAAACGGTGATGGTAGGGGTGGAAGTAGACGGATCTCGACCGTTTTTTGACCAAATTGAGCAAGGTAAGATGCTAAATAGGGTTTTTTAGGTATKCTGAGTYAGATGGACGCGTCAGAACTTGAATCTGAACAGGGTTTGGTCGGTAAAAGAGGAGGGGGCTGCGCCACCATGGCCGAGCCAGCCATCGAAGTACTCCTTTTTTTTTTTCTTTTTTTTTTTTATCTCCCTAGCAAAGAATCATTGTCCTTTTGTTCACCCATGGTATGATATCTACCCAGGCGTAGGTTTCGTGTCCACCATCAGTACTAGTACATACCCTTCATCCCCCTATGGGGATTGTTTTCTCTGTTTCCAAAGCAGTCGTCCYCATTGCTCGTCATACTCCCTTACGGGTCGTGTTGGGTTGTTATGGCTGAAATCCTTGAACCTGGCTACTATTACAGCCAGGCGTCGTGAACGGTGAGAGATATATCGGGTAGTGATCRTGTTTCATATCGRTAYTGACCAGAGGTGTGAAAATAATAATAATAATAAATAAATAATAGTAATGGTAACAAGTGTTGGACGGGGAGGTGACAAACTATGAGAGAGTTGAATAGGTAGGGGAGTATTAGAGGGGGATTGCATGTATCTAGACCCAAGCTTCGACAGCAGCCAGCAAAGGGGTAGCTAGATCAAGCAGGA